TAATATATTGTCTTATTTCTATTAAATTCAAACATTAAAATGACCAGCAGAATGCATTTTGTGGTCAGAAAGAAGCATCTCTTTGGGCTTATTTTCGTTCATATTTTCAGCTGGATAAGTGCAACCTCTGTTCTTTGCTCTGCAACAAGGTTCTTCTGTGATCTTAACCTATCTCTGTTTTAGGTCTGTGTAAGCCTAAAGCTTAAGCTGTCTGATATGTTCTCCAGAGTGGCCCCATAGTTGTACCTAGACCGTTCAGTATCTCTGTAGTTAATACATTTGAACATGAAAGGTGGTCTTTAGGTGTCCCTGAAAAGACCAGTAGTCTCACCATGGCACAATCCATATAGACATCAAAGATATGTTAGCACTTGCATCATTACTTCCTATCAATATCTCCTGAAAGAACACTTATGCATTTAAAAATATCCATGAGATACGTTTCTACATCTACTTAACTAGCAGTGGGAATTAGAGAATGTAGGGAAATTTAGGAATGTGGTCCTTGATGGGGCAGCATGAAGGAAAGGGTGTTTCCACTGTAGCAGAATTCTTTCATATCACATGAGAGCCTGCCTGGATGTGATTCTGTGCAACATGCGCCAGGTGACCCTGTTTGTGGGGGGCAGGACTAGATGATCTCCTAAGGTCCCTTACAACCTCAGTCATTCTGTGATTCTGTGACTGGGCTGCACAACAGCCACCCAGGATGCAAGGGAAAATACCATGAGCCGCTAGCACACCAAGGAAAAGGTGCATGGACATAAACTGTAGGTTCTGGAGTTTTCCTGGTGTCAGAGCAAATATTCCATTCCTTTCTTGGTGCTTGCTGTTTTGGGTCTTTATAATTGCCATGGAGACTTATTTTTCCCACCTCATCCATACTGTGGATCTCTTTAATCTGCCTGAACAAAGAAAGAAATGAAAGGAAACACAGCAGTGACTTGGCCAATCTTGTGGAGGACACCTCAGCATTCAGCAGTTTCTCTGAATCAGCCTTCACTAAGAACACGTATAGCACATGGAGCAGTCCAAAGTGTACCAGCCTTCTTCCACAAGATCGTGTTGCTTTTGCCATTAAAATGCTGAGGTGTCCCACAGTCCCTTGTCTCCACAGTACACAAAGGTATGATTGCTTTTCTTTTGTTCTGGCTCAGTGCAAATATTTGCGCACTGGAAAATGTTTTAGCTTCACAGACCAATACATCAGCCATCTGCCTAGAAAAGCCAACGCCTTTCTGCTCCGAGACGGATATGTAGGGAGGATCCTGTTCCGTCAGTGCCCCGATTCCTGTGCCTCACCTCGCTGACGTTAAGCACACGTTTGTTTGACTTCGCTTGGTCTGATTACGACAGATAAGTGCAGGGAGTAAAGCAGGTATGTATGGCTTTGTGAACAAGTGGCAATAAAATTTGCTTTCCAAAATGTATCAAAGGCAGAACTCAGAAAAATCTTTTATACAAAACTTCCACAGGTCACTCTGTGTATTACTCAGATTTGTGTTAAGCTGTACACCTCATCCATGAATGCATCCATTAATATCATTGTGATCACACAGCCTACACGGGTAGGTTTTCTCAGTCTTTTATATCATGACTGATTTACTGTAAAATAACCTCTGCACTGACACCCATATTTTCTGTCTTTCATTCCCCTGCTTTAGCTGTAAACTGAACAGTGGAAGTTAAATGATACTGGTTGTATTAATTGAGGCTAATCAAGAAAATTAAGATCCCCACCCTATTTTCAAAGATGGGAGTAAAAATGAACTGCCCACTAATACTGCAAATAGAGTTTCCAGGGGCGTGTAAGCCCACAAGGAAGAAAAAAGAGAAGAATAGAGCCATTTTTTGGGGGAAAAAATATGAGGAGAAGAATCAAGTGGGTTCTGTCTTCTCTTGAATATGCTACAAGAGTGTGATTTTTGTCTCTGAACAACGTGACTTTATTTTGAGATTGGAGTTTCTGTTCTATCAAGAGAGGTACTACCTGGCAAAATAACCTCCATGACAAAGGAAGCAGAAAGATAGCATGAATTTTAAAATTAAAGATGGATATTGAACTAAGCTGTGAACAGAAAAAATGTCAAGCAGTATACAGGGTGTTTTTACCTGAATATCTAGCTCCACCAAAAGGACTGGATCTAAATCTTTACAGCTCATGAAGAATCAGTCCTATTTCTCAAGACTGCACTTCAGAAAAGAACTCATCTTGATTTCATGATATATGATATATAGATATATCATCCTGATGTATCTAGATATTTGAGAAAGTGGAGAAGAGGGTGAAAACCTCTCAGTGTCTCAAATGTGTCAAACCTTTCTTCAGTGGAGAATTCCAGGTCACAGTGAAGGATTCTAGGTCACAGGTACAACCAGCATCCATAAGATCTTAATTAATCTCGATTTTCTTCAAAAGTTAAAATTACAAGCTTTGAGGGGTTGATATTAAGGCTAACTTTCATTCCACAATGAAAGCAATTATCATGGTATTGTTCCTGCAGTGCCAAGAAATGTTTATCCTTTTATTTTCTGTTTTAGCACTGAGGTCAGTCTGGCTATGCAGTGTATAGTGTCCAGAGCTGCAAAACTTTGTGGTTTCCACATTCATGGGTTCTTGACAGGCACCTCTGCTCATGAATCACAGAAAGCACTGACAGAAATGTAATCTCTAACCTTATTTTGTACAGTTTTCAGAGCAAGTAATTTGACACACATCAGCTCTGTGCATATTGAGCAAAGCACAGCAGATACACAGGAGCTACGTGTTGTTGATAGGATGTATCTGATCTCTGAGGAGCTAGTTTTCTATTTTGATATCTCACCTGCTGTAACATACCTACTAAAAGAGAAGCATGACAACAATATTCACTTTCATTTAAACCTGAACTAGTCAAAGCAAATGTCTTCAAGTGTGTGTCTTATTTTAAGCTGAGCTATTGATAGATATCAGCACGGAAGAATGAATAAACTTGACTTGAACTCAGCAGAGGTAGGCAAGAAACCAGAGTAAAGGCTGCACCTCTGGATTCCTCAGAACAGTAAATTCACTGAAGGCAACCACAGACACAAGATGTGGGTAGAGTTTGGCAACCTTATCTAGAGAACAAATCCAGTGTGACCTTGCATCTAGGCCTAACTGCTACATATTAGTTATTCAACTGCGGCAAAAGCAACCTCCATAACCTTGTTAATATTGAACTGTAAATATAAAGGAAGACCTTGCTGCTGCATATGCTGCTGCTTTGCACTCATGCACCATTCAGTTTAACACACAGGTCTTGGTTTCCCTCCACTAGAGTAGTGATTTGTATCTTTAGCTGATAACTAAGTTGCTTTTAGAGAATTTCTGGCAATTCAAGCTAAATAGACTTGCTCAGATAGGCCTGCTGAGTTATACCAGTGGGAGGCAAGCTGTCTGGGGCTTCCCTCTCTTTGTTGCAGCACCGTAATAGCATTGAGCGTAAGTWGCATCAGCAACGAGCACAAATAGGACATCACCCATGGCTTGGACTGTGCATATGTGCATCTACTTATATATATATGCAAGTCCAACATCCCTCTCAAATATCCCTCTAAAGCCTGAGACCTCACTCTCAATCTTAAAGAAGTGGGCACTGGATGAGGATAGAACTATTCTACCTTTAATTTCCTGTCTGAGTTGGAGTGATTGTACCAAGACTCTACTTCCTACGATCTTGGCCAATGTGAATATATGAAGGAAAAAYTTTCCCTGAAAAGAATGATAGCAAAATCACTTTCCTTGCAGTCTTTTGGTAATATTATGATTCTACCATACTTAGGCATTTCCTGACTCACTTAGCACTGTACTCCTTTCCAAAGCAAAGTCTTTTCTTGACCCATATCACCCGTCAGCTTTTACAGCTAGCTCATATTGCTTTCTCCCAGATGTCTCTGCCATGCTCTACAGGAGGTGTTCACACAACCGAAAACTTGGAAAATTGCTAAGTATGAAATAAATTGAAGCAAATTAAGGGCATAACTGAGTAGATCTAAACACAATTTAAGGAAGTGTGATTAACAGTTTAATTGTGCTTCTAGCATTTTCCTATGTTTCCTATATGTTTAAAAAGATTTTAACAGATTTTGAAGATAATATACTATTAATGACTAATATTTTTTTCTTTTAGTATACATGACACTTCTTTGCCCCAATTTTACAGTTATATGAAGACACAGATAGTCACAATAAAACTCTAAAATGATATGTTAATACTACGTATGGTAAATTAACAAAGCTGTCCTGCAGAAAGCCTTCCTTTATCCTTTGTATGTGCGTTTAGGCAGTATTATGGGAAACAGCAGACAACACAGAAAAGCAACAGTTGTGCTTTGTACCAAAACCAATGCATGCCCTTGTCATAGATGAATCATTTGCTGTCTTGTTCGTGTGAAAAAAACACATTGTCAGAATAACCATTTCCCACCTCAATTGATTTAAACATTTTGTAATAATCAGGTGTCTGCCTTTTCTTGCAGTGAGTCTAGATAAATTTTGTGAAGCAAACCTCGTACATGCAGATCTCTTACTAAATTGCCACTATTATGTCTACAAAACTACGAGTTTTGCAGCATTGGRATGCTACAGGAAAGAGCCTGTGATAAGGCTCCCATACCTCAAGTGACATTTAAATGAAAAGAACTAAGCAAGGTTGCTTATTTTCTGCATATCAGATTTTACAAGCATTGCTTGGTCTCAGGCATGGAGTCCTAGGATTATCTCCTTCCATTCCTTTTACTTCGCCGACTTTTTCTTTTTCTTCGGCAATTTGATATCACAAACTAAGCATGAAATGTGTGTTCTGTTTTCAGCTATCAGAAATGATAGCTAAAATGATACAGAAGAAAACTAAATGTAAAAAAGAGCCACTCATATGTTTAAGCTTAAATTACTCATTTTTTTTCTTATATAAGCTGTTTCAGAATCAATTGATAATATCTTCCAGTCTAACTGGCTGGCTAATTTCTGTTCCTTCAATGCTTTCATAGCTTTCAGCTATTCATAGCTGACTAAAACTGAGTTCACTAAAGATTTACACTAGGCAAAAAATATAAATGAGGAGCTGAGATGTAGCTGCTAACTTACCTAATGAATACCAGATAGACACGAAAAAAGTTAGTTATAGCTTTCAGTCAGTAGTTACTTGATGTGACTTAATGAAACCACGTTTGGGTTGATGAAGCACACTTCAAAGTTGTTGCGTCTTACACCATCSCCTTCAGTTACTCAGATGGTCAACTTCAAAGCCTTTAACAGGATTCTCATCTTGTTTTCTAATAGGCACAGTAATCTGTATTTGTTCTTTACATCATAATGTAACTTTCTCATGAAATCTTGTACACCAAAGCTGTTTGGTAAGAGTTCATACGCTAACAGAAACAAAAAAGCAAAGATATTTAAAACATCAAGTTTCCTGGTGCAGCTCCACCTCGTAGAGGCCATGGTCATTCCACTGTTGCTGGTTATAATTCTGTCTGAATGAGACGTAGTGCTTTCTTCATGTTCTCTATTACTGGAAAGATAATAAATAAGAACTGTAAACATGACCTTAAAGTGCATTTTTACAATTAAAAAAACCAGTTTGATTAGTAAATTATTCACATTGAAATTAAATTATGGTTTTGTGTTGTATTTTAGGCTTTTCTATGATGAGAATTGTTGGCATTGTTACTGAAGCAGAAGGTAAAAAGTGTCACTAATCAAGGCACTCAATTTAAAGGGACTTGACAAGGCTCTTTTCAACAGCATTACTTCTCAACAGAAAACCTGGTAATCACATGTGAAGTGCRTATTTGGGGTGAGATACTGCTTTGCTGTCAGGTAGATGGTAACGAGTCAAGACTTACTCAACCTGAAAAGTCACATTCCTATTTGGACTGTGGGTCTTAGGTGGCATCCAAGAAGCCAGCAACATTTTTTTTCTTCTGATTCTCTCCCACCTCTGGCTGCTGATATTGCGCAGTTAGATACCTTTGAGCACAGTGACTCTCAGTATTGCCCTTGCTTAGATATTGTTTAGATCTTTATCCTGTAAATTGGCACCTATCTTTGCCTGCTTGAGTAGTCCAATGAATTCAGGGCAAGGATAGTTGTGCTCAAGTGCTTTTGTAGAATGTTAGGTTGTTACAACTTACTGTAAATGTCCACGTACTTTCTTCATAAATTTGAAAGAAGAGAAGTTTTAATCGATTCACAAGCACAGTTGAAGATGGAGTAGATCTGGCCAATTATAATATGAAACGTAAAAAAAAAAACCAAAACAGATGGCACTTACAGAATGGCATGTCTTGTGGTTCATAAGTGTAAAGCCGATTTGAATATCTTCCTGTGATATCAGCTCTTACTGTGAGAGATGGGTCTGAAAAAGTAAAGTATTAAACACTGAGTACACTCTCATCATCGCTGTAAGTGGCGACGGAGGGATTGCTTTGACSGACCTGTTTCTGATGTGTGCTGATTTAGTGAACAACTACAAAATGATTACGTTCTCTCCTGCCAACCACTCCTTCCTTGGAGAAATCCAGAACAATTGCTGCTGCTCACTTTTACATATGCAGCTATTCCTAAATGATAGATATCACATACATCATCCATTTTTAAAGAAAAATATTCTGGCTTGCGTGCTCTGGARTTACGTTGGGAAAGACCGGTTTGACCAGATTTACAAATAACAAGGGTCATGCATAGTTAATGCAACATTAGCATGACCTACCTAGAGCCTTCAGAGCTAAAACTATATTTCTTAATGTCTTCTTTAGGGGAGAAAGTGATCATCAACAGCTCATTCATCCTGTTCCCTTTCCAATCTTGTCAACAATTTGTTAATTGTCAACTCTTGTCATGAAGCCTATCTGAGGATGGGCTTCATCCCACCCAACTAACGTGTGGCTGCTTGTACCACTGAGCGAGTAACTCTAGGCTGCCTGTAGGGTCAGCAAAGGCAACTTTACAGTGAGATAAATCATTCGTTAGACTACACTGACTATTGAATACCTCTGTGATATACTTTACCCTCTAGACGTCTACTTTCAGTCAGATAGTGGACAATTTTCAGTAAGCAAAGTCTCAGAAGATAACTATCATGTAGCAAAGTGCAATAAAAGTCCATATGCTTATAAATATTTAAGCTTCTTGTTCCCAAAGAAACCAGCAGGAATTAGATACCCTGCAGAATGTGACCTTAGCAAACTGCCTTGGGTCATAAGCAAGCCTGCAATGAACAGAGCGCTGAACTCAGCTTTCCCAACTTCCAGATTCATTCCACAGTAGTGGAAAGTTTTGAGATTACTCCCTTGCTCCATTTCCCCCAGCTTTTAAAGTGATACATTTGGAGGTCCCTACAGTGATGTAGATGCAGAAATCCACATAAAAATACCCAGAAATATTGTACATACCTACAAATATGATTCGAGGCACATATTGTCCATCAGGTGACAAGTTTTTATCTGTGGTTTCATGCTGACAGAGAAATCAAAGCTGACCATTAAAACATTTTGGGGAATTTTGCTAAAGTAGCATCATCTGCAAACTAGTTTGCTACCAGTGGATAAAGGTATAAGAGGTAGTACTATTATGTTTACATATGCACACTCATAAATGCTACTGGAATGATGATACCAGAAGATATTTAGCGAAAACACAGAAAAAGAAAGACAAAATAACATGAACATGGACCAAAAACAACCAATCAACCAAAAAACAATAATCAAACCTCCTCAAGTCCTTCATACCATTAGATTCAGCATAATGAAATTATTTTGGGCCATTTCTTGTATCTCTTCATTTTCTGCAAAAGCCTTCTTCAATGCTGGAAAAAACACAATAATTTTGAAGTCCACCTCAGTCATTGCCTCTTCTTCAGCTTTTAGCCACAAGGTTGGCCTGAGACTGATTACCCTTGTTCACACCCGTCATTTCACATTCGGAAGGAGACACTTCCTTCCAGGGCTCTATCACTGCTTTTGGATTTTTTCAACTCATGCCTCTAGAGCTTCCCAACTATTAAAATAGAAGCTCTCTTCTATTATTTATGAGGCATGTAGTTTCAATAGATATGATATCTCAGCTTGACAAAAGTGTATTATTCTTAAAAATTTCATACCAGATAAATTTCAGCAGTCTTGTCTTCGTCTCTTTCTCCAATTACCAGCTCAGAAGCACTGAACAATATTAAATCTGTTCAATGAATCAGTAGCAAATTTATGTGTCTCAAATTAAACTGAATGCTGTATCAGGGATAGTAGGACAGCAGCAGAAAGGATTTTTCATCTTTTTTTGTGGGGCACATTCATAGTGGAATCTGTGTAAGTAATAATAAATTCTTAGCTCTTCAGCTATCTTTTCATTCACCTATTTCTTTAAACACTGCTGAGTAAGCACATATGGGATAATGTAGTCATTTGGCATGGAAAGCCACTGTGAGAGGACCATGTAAGCATATAGGTATTTGCAGTTTCTTATAAAAATCTCCACATAAATTTAAAACTTTAAAAAAAAAAAAAAATTACCTTGGCAGTATTGACAGTCTTCCAAATGATGAATGACCATCAATGGCTTGTTACTTTATTAATAATAACAAAACACACAGTTAGCTCATTTGACAGGTAAGACTCTACTAACAGGTTGGGAAAAAGCAAATAGAAATACTAACACATAGTAAAAGCATGCAGAGGTTCTGGGAAAAACCTAAAATTCTTAGATCAAAAGAACACAGATCTTTTAGTTCTTCCCTAGGTTAATGCTTTATCTTTTGAAAACATTGGTACTTCAATTTAACAATAGCTTGAACTACACATTTATGGCCTAAAATGAAATGTGGTGGAGACACAGAGGAATATGAAGTTATGAATCCTCAAATATATTTTCAGCTTAATCCCAGAGAAAAATTAATATGTAACTACCAGTGAGAAATGGTAGGTATGTTATGCATATAAAGTGTTGGAGAAAAGTTGGAGATGGAAGATTAACATGCAAGAGAAAATGCAACTGATACACAAGTAGTTCATTAAGGAAATAATTAGATATCCGTAACACCATGGAAAGAAGTGTATTTTTTTCTATTATAATTTTCATTTATAATTGCCTATTCAAATGGCTACACTGATCATGTGTACAGAATTAAACTCAAACTTGCCTAAGAGCTGAGGACCACAAAACTCCTGACTCCTTTTTATCCACACAAGCTCTGGTTTATTAAACTGTGTGCTCTGTAGATCAACTGTAATGGGATTTATTTGTTCGATTCCTTTACAGTACATAACTGTAACATGCACAACATGCAGTACATAACATAACAGCACAACTATATCATTAACAACTATGTCTTTTCAAGCTAAGTTTTAATCTCTTACCTTTTTTTGGCTTGATAAAGCCCTTCTTCATAAGTTTGCACCCAAGTAATATCATCTCCCCATCCTAAAAGTATAACAAAAGGATTAACTAGTGACTATATATTTTTAAATTTATATATATTTATTTTATATAAAGAGCTACATAAACTTAGATTCATAAAACATAATCAGACTTATATAAACTTCATTATCTAAATTTCCTTAAAGGTTATTCTAAAATAAAAATAAATAAAAATATTTTTAAAAAAATTAAAAATAGCCTGATTTGGAAGAGAGTACAATTCACATCCTTTTGGCAAACTTTCTAGATCTCCTTCATAATACTGATATTTCCCCAAATCAGGATTCAGATTCTTTACATTGGCTGATCTGAGTAAACCCTGGGGATGACAGAAAGAGACAGCTAATAAATCTTATGGAGGAAAATAAAATATGAGAAGTCAAACCAGATAAATTGTAATATGCTTTACATATTACTGTTTTGGGATTAGCTCCCAAATCATGAATTTAAGTCTCTGGAGTTCAGAGTACTCTGTTTAATTAAATAATTTAAAATAGATTAGACAATAAAAATCTGCAGGAAAACAAAATCCAAATGAGTCCTCAGCTTCATAGCTAGCAATGCACGAGTCTCCAAAAGCGAGTGGTCCGGTTGCTTTGAAGCCTTTGACTTGCAGTGACACCAGCTCCCTGCAATAGCTCAGGCTTCTGAGCATCATTGCTTCCTTTTGCTAGGCTGCCAGGAGAACTCCGTGCTGCAAATGCAAATACTGCAAACATAAATATTCCCCTTTCATCTGTGGACATTACAGGTATTGATCAAGACTCTACAGCATCGCAATGGACCAGAAACCAGGACTAGAAAACTGCCRCTTGCTTCTTGTGATTATGCTTTCAAAATCATGCAACACTTATAGTATGATTAAAAAGAAACTGCATTTWTGAACCAGGATCTGCAAATTCCTTTTGGTTATTCCATAAATGTCACTCAATTTCATCCTATATATACAATATAGGAAAAAAGAACATTAAAAAAATCAGTTTGAATTGTTGTTCTTTTTAGAAATATGGATATGTGGAAAAATTGTATCATGGAAACTGGAGCTATGCAGTTGTGCTTCAGTACTTACAAGTTACCATATGAAAATATATTTTAACAGGTACACATTAAAAAAACAATTTTCACTAACAGTTACAGAAGTGCCACTTTCTCTGGGAGGCTCTGTGTAGGTTATTGGCTGCATTAGGTCACCAGGAGCCACACAAGTTATGCACATTGTATGAGGCCTTCAGCCAAATCCTTCAGGACAAACCAAAGGGATGAAAGTCATGGAATAAGAAGATGCTCAATTTAGGGTGCCACTTAACTCTAGAGAAACACACCTCATATATAAGCATACACACACACACTTTCAGATATATTCTACGTAAAAATATTTGATGACATATTTGGCTGGATAAGGAGGCTAATTAAATAAAGCAAAACCACAGGACCTCTAGACAGTGTTTGGGGAGCTCTTTTTTCCTTCTTGATTGCCATTGCAAGGTTGGAAGAAACGGCAATGAGCAGGAGGGACAAGGCCAACGTCGAATGCAGCATTATTTCTTTAAGAAGATCTCTTTCAACACAGCAAGGGAACTGAAAGGCAATGTGAGAGCTTTAGTTGCCTGGATTCATCACCTGGTGCAAAGTAAATCAACTCGTTAATGTTTTCCTAATAACCTATACTATAGAAGCGGTTTTGATTATTTCTATCAATGCCTACTGTTAAAGACAGCTTAAAACAGAGATACATAACTCTCTGTATTACCAACACTGCCTTGAGTTGTCAAAAAATAGGCTGCCCGTGATCATTTTCACTACAACAGGTCAAGGAAATRAATTCATTTCAGTTTCATTACTAATCATCCAAATTTTAATTATCATGAACAAATACAATGACATAACGCTGGGTTAGGAGTATAGCAAGTTATTGTGCTATTAGTTGTTTGTGGTGCTAGTTTTTTAGTTTCAGGAAAAAAAAAAAATCCATGCTGTTATATGTTTTTTAAATGAATAGTAGATTTGCTGATCAAAAAGTATCTCATGATAAACCCCTTAATACAATAGGGGAAAAAAAAAAAGAAAAAAACAGAAATGAAAACAAACAAGCCAGTGATTGCACATTGTTGGAATCCACTTTAGGGCAGCAAATTCCTCCAGAATATTGAAACCATCAGTCAAATTTTGGCCTACAGTTTGGGAACCAGGATGTGTAGAGATTAATCAGATGTAAAAACATTGTTCTGATTTCCAGGTGTTTCTCTCTCACACACACAAAAAATGTACACGGCATTTGGAACTAACTTTCAGCTCAACTCCTCCTTTAAAAATAACCCATTTATGTTCCTAGGTATTTGAATATTCTGAAGGATTTTCTTCTCCTCATGACAAAAGTCTCTAAGAAATGCAGTAACTTCTGATCCTGATAGGAGTTAGAGCACAAAGCAGAGCTTGCAGGAGAAGGATAAAAAAAAAAAAAAAAAAAAAAAAAAAAAAAAAAAACATTTCTGAACCAATTCATTTCATTTAGGTCTTATTTCTTCCTGCTACAGTCATCTTTAAAGCCACGGTTGCAGGTGGATTTGAACCTGTTGATTTGAACCAAGTTAAAGAATACAGCAGGCAAATCCAGCCATCTTGTTAGTTCTCCTCTTGCAGGACATTCCRATTTCCATTGGTTTAGATTTATGAGTTAATAAGATAACCTGCTGAGAAAGTCTTTTGACTTAGACATGTCCTCTCCCAACACACCCTTTCCACTCAAGGAGTGAAAKAAAAATTGTACCTTAAGAAGAAAAAAATCTTTTTAATTGTAACATAAGAATTCCTTATTGCTGAAGGAATTTCTCTGGGTTCTTAAAATAATCAGTGCAGTCSCTATAATGTCTTCCCCCTCTTAATCTCATTGACAACAGTTCCCCTTTTGCCCCKCTATGGCATAGCCACTCTAAAGCTGCAATTTGTTTCACATTTTCCACCTCGGGCTTCTATATATTAGCCATCATTGATTCAATTTTTCAGAAAGGAGTTTTGTTTGGACCTTATTAAGTCTCTCCCTTCATAGAGCAAATGAAGATCATGGATATTGGTTGATAATTTTTTTTWAAACATTTCAAGAAGAGAAACTGATTTTTTTTTTTTTTATGCTTGCTTGGGGCTGAGGAAGCTTCATTTAAATTTTCCAATGTATTTGTGCAGACCACTAACTGATAGCAGTCTGTCCTTACAACCTAGTACTATATTCTTGACAAATCAGTAATTTTAACAGCTCCCTTTGAAGGTTAATAACTACACTTAACATCAGCCTACCTATCAAATATTAATAATAAGATCTAGCATTTGTATTAACATATTAAAGCCTCTTGTTTAACAATAATGGCTTCTAAAAAAATCACACTGGACATTTCACTATAACTCAAGTATGGAATGTATAAATCATTATTTCTTTCAGGGTGAATATATTGAAAAGTAACAAAGTATAAATTTCWTCAGGTTACAATATTATTCATCTTAAGCTTAAATAAGTAAACTTCATCCTATTGGAAGCCCAGAGRCTTACAGAAGGGTAGCTTGCAGAGCTGTAGCTAGGGTAGTTTAAACTCAATATTCTGAATTTTTGATGTTATGTGATCCAATAATTAATAGATTTTAGAAAAAAATAATAATAATACAAAATACATCCAACACAATAGAAATTGCCTCCATCTSCCTGTCAGAAGAAACATTTTGCTAGTTTATCTCTAAGCACCTACCATTCATCTTTTTCTTTTCACTAAGCTTATAACACACTTATCAGCCAAAGCTTTTGGGTGCACTAAAAGAAAAGTGGAGAATGAGAAATATTTGCTCACCAGAGCTGCCCAGCTCTCTCTGCTGCAAGGTCCTTTAGCTGGTGGCTGGTTAAGGACGGGGCTGATTGAAACCCTGAGCACCTGCTCTGCCCACGTCTCTGTGCAGCAAAACCAGCAMATTCACCTGCAGGGACCACAGGGACCTTTGTGCTGGAAACCAAAGTGATGGGTTTCCACCCACCCCCCTCCTTTTCTGCCATCCCTCCGACTTTCTGCTCTTGTGAATTCTCATGCCTGTGCACTGGCTCCTTGCTGTTCACTTCATCTTGCCTTGTATCAGGTGTCTTGTGCGAGGACTGAAAACAAATAGTGGCCTATGTGTGTCTGCCACGTCCCCCCTCAAACAGAGGGAGTCTGGCTGATGTCCAGTGGAAACGGACACCACCAGTGAAAGCCGGGACTGTAGGTGCTTTTGTTCCCAGTGAATGGCCGGGTTCACTGGTGCTTGGAGATTAGGCATGAAGCTAATAGGAAGACATAAGGGTTACTTTGTGCAAAGGAATGTAATTAACAAATAAAAGTAACTTTTTCTGAGGGGGAAAATCTGTTTTTTTTTTTTCTTTTAAGAATATGGTTTAAAGCATCTGATTACTGCTTCTTTAAGTTGTAGTTTAAAAATGATCTGGTTCCTTGGATGCAATGTTTGATATAATTTCAACTTCCTCAAATAAAATAATAACCATTGATTTTATGGTTACAGATTGCAGATTACAGATGCACAATTCTTGTATTACTATTTTTTTCCTATTTATTCAAGAAGTCTTTCAGCTTCATCTGCACAATTTGAGCATAAGACTTTCTTCTAGGTGGTATTTTCTCCAGCATTTTCTCCCTTGCTCTTCCCTAATATCTGCTGCTGCAATTTTTTTTTTTTCAAAAGGTGTGAAATATGACATGTAATTTTATTTAAGTCGATAATACTCTGGATCCCTAGAAAGGGGAGAAACCCTAGAATGGTTGAAGAGGAAAGACATGGGGTTTGTTTACCAAAGAAAGGCAAACACCTGTTTAAATCAGAGTGCTATCTTGCATTTTCTCATTTAACTTTTGAACAAATGAGAGAGATTCTCTGATATCAAACACAGGATATTTTAAAGAATAACCAACATCCATCCATCCTTCCATCCTTYCATCCTTCCATGCAGATATCCTAGCTTTGGGTCATTGCAAAGAAATTTCATAGAAGCTTTAACCCTTTTTTATATCTCAATTAATTACAGACTGTTTAACAATTATAAAGTTACAAATTTTGCAAGTGCATTGAAGTGTATTCCTGGGATACTGTGTTCTCTGCTGCACAGGTTTCCTTTTGTATTGTTTCAAATGCGGGGTAGGAATTCAATCAAATAGATAAACATTAGTGTTGAGGTACTTCACAACTATTCATTACTTTAAACATTATTCATTACTTTAAACATTACTTAGTGATGTTATTCCTTCTGTGATCCATTTTTGAAAATGAGCATTTCAGTCTATGCCCATCTTGTCATGCAGATCTTGACAGGTCTGATCAAACAGACCTTGTTGGGGCTTAATACTGGAGGAAAAAGCTGGAAATATTCTGTATCCTGTGCCTTSCCTATATGTGTCAGGTCCCCACGTTTTTTGGGGCAGCTCGCTAGCCTCCTGCTCYGTGTGTTCAGCAACTAAACCTGATCTCACCTTGAAACAGGAGCTCCTCGCAGCCTTCGACCCCGCATCTCTGCACTGAGGGCAGCTCTGACTTTTGCTTTTGCTAGTACAGTCTCCAGGGTAAAATGGAAGGAAGACATTTTCTTTTTCTCCTTCCTTCCTAAAAGGYTCAGGTTGGGCATACAGGTTACCAGAGGTTATCTCTACTTATTTTATACGTATCCAGGTCAAAATTAGGAAATGCAAGAGTTAGCTAACCAGAGGGGTCAAGTAGTACAGCAGTGAATAAATCATGGAAAGAGGATAAAGTTTTGGAAAAAGGAAGATATTGGAGAATGAGCAGCATCGGAGTCTACTTCCATTGCTTGCATGTAAGATTGAGATATATATCACCTCCTTTATGAAATGTGAAACTGCCTTTTAAATTTTGCCCTAAGTAGAGCTGCACAAATAAAATGCTAATTTAGAGGGGAAAGAAAAGTCTGTTGTATCCTGTATCACTTCCCTGATCTCATTTTTCGTGTGGCCTCCCAAGTGTTTTTCCTGGTGCAAGGCAGGGGATACCCTYATCTAAGGAACAACAAGCTGGTGRGGTGGCAGCAGAATGATGCCACATGATATTAACTCTTATTTATGCCTAAGTTTAATTCAAAGTGATCATTGGACTACTTGCATAAGATGAACACAATTTAGAATATGTATAAATGTATAAATTTTTACTGAGTAAAAAACCTAAAGGAAATACTTTGTGGGCAAGGTGTACAAAATCTTCCTGACCAAAAGGTAATGGGTGGTGAAATCAGAAATATGAATGGTGAAAATCCCCCGAATTACAGCAAGCTCAGTAGAAGGAACTTCTGTTACAAGGAAAAGAAAGTATATTTAATTTAAATAAATAAAAAAGCTTTCATTTTTGTTTTTGACTAGTAAAAGYCTGGTTCTTCAGTACTTCAACAACTGAAAGACTCATGTCTGGTACCTCCCCTCTGCTTCTCTAGATACTGTGGGGAMTGGTCTCTTACCAAGCTCTGGGGACTATATGAACAGGATGATGATAGGAAGTACCCCACTGAT